ATTTTATTACAAAGGGGAAGAGATCTATTTTAGTGATACTTAAGACAACAACCTGTGGTATACCTAAAGATTGGTGAGAATAAAAACAGTTTTAATCTATTGGTCTGGGATTTCTCTTACTACCTCTTCTGCACATATACGTTTTCCAACATATCATCAGTGAAACGGCTTATAAAAGTAACCAGTGAAGCTTGCAAAAATAAAAAAACCCCAAACACTTCAATTCTCAGGCGGTGACCATTTTGCCCAGGGGTTCTGTTCCTGGCCCCCACATGTATCCGTGGAGCATGCAGCCCATTCCACCCCCCGTTCTGCCCTTGTCCGGATCCAAAAGGACCTGAGCATCAGTGGTCACACATCAATTGGATGTGTGCAAAATGGTCACCGTGTCTATAACATAAAGGCCTACAAGCCAAGGTAGAAACATGGTGCTAGATGTTGGGATTCCCAACTGTCATCATTCTCAGCCACTAGCGGGCCACAAGTTGCCCATCTATCTTAAGTTAAGAAATTAAGGGATAAGCACAACACTTGGCTGGACAGCACATCAATACATGTTTTCTGAAAAACAAGTCTGTTAACTTGGAACTAGATCCAAGTCATCACTATTCCTGTTGATTGAAGAGTTGTGACTGACTTCTGTGTCATTGAGCAGTCATTTCACTGTATAGCGAAGTTATGCTGTAGAAGGGGTGTGTATGTTGTTTCTTTTAAAAAACCAAACTCCAAATTAAGTCTACATTTGGTTTGAAAAGCCCATCAACTGCCCCTTGATCTGCAAACTTCGTAGCAACAGGAACTGCAAGCAGAGATTCTCAAAGAGGGTGCACAATAAATAAATAATCAATATTCATACATTCATTCAAAGTTGCATTTAATTGCTATTTACATCCATTTGTTTTGAAATAAAGTATATATTATTACAGTAAATAATACAGAATGAAATGCAGGGAGGGAGTTTCTACCCCCTCATACCATTCTTAGTAAGGCAGCTGTAGAATCTGATTCTTAACAGATGGTTTACAAAGCCAGCTAATGTCTAGCAGAATGAACACTTCCTTAAAGCATACAGATGAAAATTAAAAACCACCAAACCTTGAAGCCCTTATGCAGCTTTCTCCCGCTTCCTTTCCTTCCCCAAAGGCTCATAGACACCATGATGTAAACATGTTAATTTCTGAAGATGCCTGCACAGTTCAAGACACCAGAGGTGATGAAACCTAGATCCCCATTTGCTCCTCTTCCAAGAGCTTAGGGACAGCTGCTCACACCATCAAATATACTAAGCTGTCTTTGAGAAGAGACCAGGGATCACTCCAGCATTTCTGCTGCCCAGATTTGATTCATATCAGTAGGACTCAGAAGGGTTTGCTGAGCAGATGCGTGTGGCTCAGCAATATTTGGTGGGTTGATTAGCATCCTCTTGCAAGAGAGGACAAGGTAATAATACGGCAGCTGGGGTTTTCTTTTTCCCTTCCAGGTTCAGACCACCTTTCCTCTTCCAATATAAATACCCAAGAGTGGGGAAGCAGTGGCACTCCAAAGGCTGCTGGTCTCCCAGCAATCTCAGCCAGCATGTGGAGAGCCACAAGTGTCGCCAACCCTGTCTTAAGACTCCCAAAATAGGAAGAAAAGAGGAACCAGTTCATGCATAAACCTGGGCAAGGATTCTTAACACACTTCCCTTCTGTGAGCTACACATAAAATTGGGCCGATGGCGCATAGCACCCAGACCATATACGTGATGGGGGGGGGAGGGATGTGATAAGCCACACAAGCCCACTTTAACCGGCTGAGTGTTATCAATGCGGGCCTTATGCAATTAGGAGAATGCAAACCCTGTTGCCCATTAAACGGCATACAGATCCCAACTAGCTACTATTTCTTGGCAATTCTGGGAACCTTCACTTTCATAAACAAGAAAACGAGCAGTAAAGGGGAAGGGGTGGCTCCACCGGACACAGCAACACTGTAGACCCGGTGTGGGCAACTGTTGGCCCTCCAGATGTTGCTGCGCCACAAGTTGCATCATGCTTGGCCTTTGGCTGTGTTTGCTAAGGCTGATGGGAGTTGTAGTCCAGCAACACCTGGAGAGCTAAAGGTTACCCACACAGGCTCTAGAACAGATGTCCTTCCATCAACTAGGTTAGAGCACAGGGGTTGTAATGAGAGTCAAACACTCGAATGCTGTCTAATCTCCCCCCAAATTCCCATGGGTTGCAAAAATTCAAATGCACCATGTATTCAACAGGGAATGGCAATAGTTGAGATTTTAACACACCCACCCATAAATCTCTTGGGATGGGAGGGCTCTCAGGCCAGCTGACCTATTCACTTCTCTGTTCCTCAAAGTGAACAGTGGAATACAACGAGCACTGCTTACATTTCACTATCATGGATCTCTAGTGGAAATAATACATGGTTCAAGTTTAATGCTTAAATATGTGGTTAGCCTCAGCAGGTATTAATCCCATTTTTTTAATAATATAATGGTACAAAAATCTATAAAAATCAAATTATAGCAAAATCCCAAGATTATAATTAAAAAAGCACATCTTGTACAAAATAAATCTTAATTCCTATACCTCAATGAAAACTTTTAAGACTTTTTTTTAAAAAAGAAAGCACTTAAGTTCTCTGACAGTCACGGCATTTCACACACTAGCATTCTTTCTGAAGTCATACAGGAGTAAGAATCCCACTCCTTTTCAAAGTCTTGTGACTAATATAATATTGATACTATAACAGCTATATACAAAGAGAGAGACAGAGAGAGAGAGAGAGAGAGAGAGAGAGAGAGAGAGAGAGAGAGAGAAATCAAGGTTTGGATATCTATTTATACAAATAAATACAGGATAACCCCATATTGCATAGTGTGTGCTTGCTGTCCCAAGTCAAGATTCAAGAGTTTCACAGTTCAAAGATGATGAACACAGTTTAGGAAGTCGACTTAAGTGAAAAGATTAAACTGGAAAACAGATTCAAAACACTTTTGCCACCTTCTGCTGACCCTATTAGCCAACCCGATGGTTATATTTACCCAGAGCAGGACCACACACAAGATCACCAGAGATCTCTCATTTTAGAGAAGAGGTAGGGCTAACCCACTACCAAATGGGGCTCATTCTAAATTCGGCTCTCGTATGACTCCTGACCATTTCCGTGGGGCCTACCAACGTCATGGTTTCCAGATGTTGGGCTAAATTTCCATCAGCCTTAAGCCAGAATGGCCAAAGGGGAAGCTGTGGTACACAACATCTGGGCGGAACCATGTTTGGCTACTCAACATAATCTGTCACACCCCAGGGAATTGTGCCTAACAGAACACTCATACTACTCAGAAGTAAGTCCAATGAGCTCAACAGGACATACCCTGAGGCAATGGCACACGGGATTCTAGCACAACTGATTTCTGGCTTTCACAAAGCACAAGCCATCATCCACAACCATACTGCCTCCAATACATAAAAGGTGAGTGAACGGCAACATCAGCTTCACTGCATACTGTACTAGAGAAGCGATAAACATTCGGTTGTCTATAGCGTCACGGAAGTTGCCTTGACGCAGAAGTGGGGCAACTCTGGCCCTTCAGAGTCTACACTCCAACTCCCATCATCCCTGATTGGCCACGCTGGCTTTGGCTGATGGAAGTTGGGAATCCAAAAACAACTGGAGGGCCACCACCCCCTGCCCTAGCCGGATTTCCCTTGCAAAACCAAAATGTGGAAAAACAGGTCAGCCCTAATAGCTCTTCAAAGCCAGCAAAAGAACCCAGGAACTGCCAAGTCGTGCCCAAGGCCTGGTTGAGACGTTTATGCAGGTAGAGAACGGCTTGACAAAGAGCCAAGCACTTCCCACCTTCCACCAGTTACCTGTGACGCAGGCACCACATAGGACCCTCCCCACTGCCACTCTCAAATGTGCAATTAGTTTCCCTGATACGAAGATTACATAAACGAAGCGCTCGCACTTCTGGCAGCATGGCCTTGCTAGAATCATGCGTTTCCTGGGCAACCTGCATCCGCCACAGAAAAATGGTGTCTAACCTTAAGCCGGGCTCAACTCTGCTTTGAAGTTAATACCTGTATTTCCGCAAGGCATGGAGTTAAAAGAGTGTCCAGGAGTGGAAGGGCAGTGGGCTCAACCCAAAGCAATTCCATCTCCCCACCTCCATGCTTCAAAGATGTGAACATTTAGTGGAATGGAGTGACTCTGGGCCCTGGGAGGGTGCTACGCCCCTCAAGACTTCATTTGTCTGTCTTCCCCCCCGCCCCCAAGTCCCACTGAAATTAGTAGGGGCTTTTAAACCACTGTTCAACGCTACTCTACTACTTGAATTTTGCTGCTCCAAAGAACAGGGACTACAGCCCCCGACATTCCTGACCACTGCCATGTTGGCTGTAGGGGCTCATGGGAGCAATGTCCAGAGGGCCACCAATGCCCCACCACTGGTGACGGCTTGAAGCCAGACAACTGCAGGCAGCACCCACACATCGACTTCTCCCGCTGTTCCCATTGCAGCTACATGTAGCCTGCACCCTGTGAAACCATCGAAGGACCCTCTGGAATAGCACCGGAGAGAGAGAGCAGGGGCTGTAAGCTGGCAGGGTGTGTGGAATCCACAGATGGTGGAGATCCAAAGCAGGATCTAATCCACTAGGGCTTAGGAGCAGCCATTGTTTCGCTCCATGCTATACTGTACTGCAAAAGGTGGGTCCTCTGACCGGATTCAGTTATTTTTCTTTTTTGGAAGAGTTATGGCTTGGATCCTATGGCTCAAGAGAAGAATCAAAATAAAGCAAAAAAAAGAGAGATCTATTTCCTACAATGGCAGAATTTGCACAGAAAGAGTTAGAAACCGCACCATTACACAAAGATCCACACACACCTACTCACGCATACCCACCCACTCTCTACACTAGCGTAAAGCTCTGCAGACCATTATTCACCCCCTTTCGCCAGCTACGTACATGGAAATGTTTTATTTAAGGCAGGAAGTATTAAGTTAAGGTGAAGATACCTTTATTTAATTCTTTGTACCTGTAAAGTCACTTTTGTACAGATTTTATTTTTTCAACAACAATCGCAGAAAACATAAATAGTAAACCTTTTGAACGTTTCCTAAAATTAAGTTGCAAAAGTTCTCTGGAAGACATTCGTTGAAGGCCATCTTAATAATACTTGTTGTGTTTTGCTTTGTGTCTGTGTGTGGTTTTCTTCAATACAATCAGTAGATAGATCGCCTCAGCACAAAGGAAAAAAAACAAGGGTTTTTTTTTGTAATTCATAATGGAAATGAGAAACGGAGCAAAGATGGCAGAAAACCATCTCTCCAAAGCATTACCACTTAAGCTGCAAGACCAGCATAAATGTAAATTGTAAAAAAATAAAAAGATACTGTGGTTGTATTCCTTTCTAACACCCTTTACTTTTCTCTCTTTTTTTGATGGCTTAAACGATCTTAACATATTCCTGGTATCTCTTAAAACAAATTATAGAGGTGAAACTTTAGCCAGCAGGTTCCTGCTTAGAATGATGGAGGACAGTACTATAAACCCACGGCAAAGAAGGGGGTGGGTGGGTGACAACTTTGATGGATGTGTGGAGCTCTCTGTACTGGCAGGGAGAGACCCCCCCCTCCACACTTGCTTGGAGCTGTATGGGTTGTACCAAACTAAATTCAGCTAAGAGCAGAACCACTGAAACGAAGAGACCCAAGTCTGTCACGCCCTTTAATGTCAATGAAGCTACTCTAGGGTAGGCTTAGCACTGGAGACAACCCAATGCAAACGGAGGGGCTGAGTTGGAGGTCACGCCTTCCATGCCCGCTAGGGTTTTACGCGGGGGGGGGGGCGACACCTGATCTGATCCTGTAGAAAGAGGCATTTTAAATAAGACAAGGCAGGGTGAACTCTCTCACCCACCCCATTCCAATAACAACAGTGATTTCAATTTAATCTTTTTATATATATAAAAAAACCCAAACCAGTTCCATTATTTCACTAGGAGAGCAAACAAATTCTTAAGCCTTCTTCCCCCTCCGACTTCAGCTCCATCTAACCAATAATTCTGCATATAATTCAAAGTCCGGGATACTTTCCATAATGAACCATCTTGGGGAAAAAAGTGGGGGAGGGACTCTATTTGAAAAATATATATATATATATATATTTATACTTTTAAAAAAAGTTTGTTTTTTTGCAGATGGAACGACCAAGGGTTGGAGTTTGCTTCGGATCCCCAATTTCACACAACCGCAGGAAGCCACCTGAAATACGCCTACAGGCGAACCAATCCTTGGGGGCGGGGAGGGAGGTCAAGCCCGAGAGGTGACACTCTGCACACGTTTGACTCAGTGACCCAGGCTAACCCTTCAGACTGTACGGCACAGAAGCCACACCCTACCCTCAATACTGTCCGGCCTGAAGCTATCGACCTGAAAAATCCTTGATAAGAGAGCTGAAAGAATGGCACGTGCCCACAGGACACGCTGCACGGCTGTGCTTTGAGAGTCACACAATACTATTTTGCTCAAGTCCTCTGTTAATGCACCATTGATTCGGAGGAGAGGCAAAAGGGGGCGAGGAGAAGGAAGAAAGAAGGATCCACGTTTTTTTTTTTGCCCTCTTCTTTCCCAGTTCATTCCGTGCGATGGCCGACTTGGATACTGTCGCTGAGAAAGAAGCCGCAGGAGCCCTCGTTTACAGCGTGATGAGAGGGGACGCCCCTCACAGGAGGAGGAGCAGGAGGTTCATCCTTCGCGTTCGGTTGCTGCTACCCAGAAGCAAGTTTTTGGAAATGATTGCCGCTGATTTCATCATAGATTCATGCGCAAGTGCTCTGGCCGCTTGGAGATCATAGGGAAGGCTTGTTTCTTGTAGGGCCCGGTGTTTGGCTGCCGGATAGGGAGTGGAGCTGAGGCCTCCCCACAGACCGACACGTCCATTTGCTCTATCCCACCCGTCTGCATTGGGTACTCCACGGGCGCCTGAGCGTTTCCCACGCCAGAGGAAGTACCTCGCCCCCAGTAGTCCCCAGGAGAGAACTTGATAGGGCTTTAAAGAGAGAGAAGAAACGTTCGTTGAAAGAGGTTTCGCGGAAAAAACACACAGAAACATGCTAGCTGTTGCACTACACCTAGCAGAAGGACCTGATTCAACAGGTTTAATTGGGCTACAGTTTCTGACTTTGGAACTCCACAGCAACATCCAGGAAACTTAAGGGATTTCTGAGCATTGTGCCTTTCAGATCATGCAAGAACCCTGCTGGGTCAGGACAAAGGCCAAGAAATCATCCTGTTCTCAGAGCCCCTGGGAAGCCAGTGAAGAGAACCAGAATGCAACATCACCCACCACACTTGCTATTCTCAGCAACTGGCATTCAGAGGCCTCCAACAATGGCAGCAGAAGACAGCCATGAGCCACACAGCCAATTGTCAGAGAGAAATGCAGTCCACAACATCTCGAGGGCACCATTTTAGCTGTTTGGCAGCAGCTCTCCTGGGTTCCAGGCAGGAAACCTTTCCCACCCTTACATGGAGGCATCGAAAACTGAAGTCTTGACCTTCTGCATGCAAAACAATTGCTCTACCACTGAGATATGCCCCTTCCCTTGTGAGACAGAGCACTCTAACTAAATTAATCATTTATATTCTCTCTCACCGCCCTGGAAAGGCCCAGACCCTCAACACCTCAATGACCCTCTTGCTGCTACTCACCAAAACTAGGGATGGGGGAAGGGAAAGTGAAATACCTGACTGGTGTCCGTGGGCTGCCAATGAATCTGCGAGGTGATCGGATTTTTGGTTCAAAGGAAAACTTCTCCTTCACACTTTCAAGTACAGATGGAGCCACGTATGTGAAACCCTAGATGGTGGGAAATAATTGTTGCCAAGTCCAGCCCACCCCCACCCAAAGAATTAGAATGAATGTTCTGTATTATGACAGGAGCAAAACTTGAAAGAACCAGTACCCCCCCCCCCACAAAAAATCCTAGCCATCTAGATAGAGCCAATATGTGGGTTGTTAACAGGAACATGAATGAACATCAAAACTCCTTTGGTCAGAGCAGTGGTTTTCAACCAGCGTGCCATGGCCCCCAGAGGTGCCTTGATGGATGCTCAGGGGTGCCACGGGCAACACTGGCCTCTGTCCCTCTTTCCTTCCCTCCCTCCCTTCTCTGATGCACTCTCATGTCTCTGCCTCCCAAAGGCTTGCACAGCTGTTTATTGCAGCAGCCCTGGCGATAAACTCCGCAGGGGAATGATGCCTCTGGGAGGCACCTCTCTTTGGGGCGGGCAGGCAGGGGGTAGCTCAGAGGCTGGGGGGGAAGCAGCTGCCTGGAGGACTCCCAAGGAGAGGGGAGAGAAAGCTGAGGAAACACTCCACAAGAGGGTGTCCGAAAAAGGGTGACAGGCTGCCAGTTCTGCAGACAAGGGGTGACACAACTGGGTATCTGAGCCCCGCAGAAAGAATGTAGGTGACTAAGAGAGCCATGGACTCAAAAAGATTGAAAACCTTTGGGTCAGAGCATTTGCTCCATTGTGCCTATGTGAACTTTCAGAAGCTCTCAGACAGCTGTTGCCCAAATCCCTGTATTAATTTCAACTCCCATCAGCTCCTGCAGCCAGCATGGCCAACGGTCAAGAATGATGGAAGGAGTCCAACACCTTCCACAGGCTCCTTATCCCTCGCCTATGCCACTACATAAAACCAGCTGCAGACCAGAATAAGGTACAAGGAGCAATGGATATTGGGAAACAGAGCCTACTAAGTAGTCAAGGGAGATGCAGAGCGTGCCCAAGCTTCAGAAAGGAGGCCTGGCAGCGGCAGAGAGAGTCTTCTCTTCCAGAATGTCTGCACCCCTCAACCTCAACAGGCCTTCTGACATTCCCTGCAGCCTGAAGACCAGGATTCTGTTGGTTTTCAACAATCCAGTACCTAGCCCCACTCCTACTTACCACAAAGACCTGGTTGGCACTTTCACTGAGAGTCGAGTCGTCGGGGCTATCAACAGGAGTCTGACGGGTAAATTTTGCATCAAACTGGCTCACATCCTCTTCGGATTGCTTTGCAAAATATATATATATGGATGAAGGTCAACAGATTATCAAGCCAAACACCTTTAATAGTAGATGAGGACTGAAATCGTCAGAATGGCAGATAAAAGTAACTGCAGGAAAACTCCCTGATGACAAATCACTATTTGAAGAGGTCACCCCTTTTGGGGCAGTCCATTGACAGCACTCTTTTTATTCCTTTGGGGTCACTACTTCAGTGTCTCCAAAGGTCTGGAGTCAGCAGCCCCAGGGGAGAGATGGAGTGGGAACTGCTGCTAGACCATTTGGTTGTTTCAGCTGTCATGTGTACTGTTTTCTTTACCCAGGAATTTGGTTTAAATGGAAATTATAATTGTTGTGCTCACTACAGTGCTTTGATTAGTGATGGAGCTGTTGAATTTGTTTGTTATTTATTAGACTTGTTTTTACTGAGTCTGTATTTTTTGTATACTATCTTTCCCCCCTGTGCACTTTTCATTTTATTTTTATGTCACCATTCCCTGCTCTTGAAATATTCAATGAAGAGCTAGGTATAAATACTTAAGAGGAGAAATGGGGTGTGCCACTGAATAATTATTTAGGGCAAAAGGCTGGGCACTTTGGGATCCACAAACCACAAACTAAGTTTTTATGTGAAATATTATCCAACACCAAAGGAAGCATTACCAATACATACCAATAACGGTTTAAATGGGGGTTCCACCTTCCGAGCCAATAGCTCTTCCCAGTTGATGTGTCTGAAGAAAGGATGAGCCTAAGGAACATTATTAGACAACAGTCAGAATCCAACCCAGAAGAGAAAAAGATCTCAAAGTGGAAGCTTCCTAAGCTATACACAAACCTAAAGGGGGACAACTTGTCTGGTGTGCTGAAGGTGATGAGAATGAACACAGGCAAGGAGGAAGGAAAGCCATGTTCGTTTCTATCCTCAGTTTGGGTTCAAGTCGTGCTTACAACTTGCAATGAAATAACAGGGCTCCCTTTAGCTGTTATGCATCCCACTGACCCTAGAATTGCTCTGAGAGGCACACAGCTCTACACCACTACTTTCCCAATCTCCTTGAAGGAAGCCAGGATGGCAAACCAGTTCAAAACAATTTGGTTTGCAATTTAAAAAGTAAGAGATGCCCTTGAGAGTCCCATGGACTGCAAGAAGATCAAACGTATCCATTCTTAAGGAAATCAGCCCTGAGTGATCACTGGAAGGACAGATCGAGAAGCTGAGGCTCCAATACTCTGGCCACCTCATGAGAAGAGAAGACTCCCTGGAAAAGACCCTGATGCTGGGAAAGATGGAGGGCACAAGGAGAAGGGGATGACAGAGGACGAGATGGTGGACAGTGTTCTCGAAGCTACCAGCATGAGTTTGGCCAAACTGCGGGAGGCAGTGGAAGACAGGAGGGCCTGGTGTGCTCTGGTCCATGGGGTCACGAAGAGTTGGACACGACTAAACGACAAGAGATGCCCGCAGTTTCTTTCAAATAGTATACAAACACTGTCTCTATGGAACATGCTCCAGATCACAACACAGATGTCCTTAAAAAAAAGGGGGGGACCACAGGAGAAAGTCTAGCCTTGTGTTCCAGTTCAGCAAAAGCATTAAGCAAAAATTACCTGAACTTCTCCAGCATCTCCAGGACCAGCTCCTAGACGTGAGGCAGCATTTCTCTTTAGCAGCTTAGAAAAGGGGAAATATGTTTAAGAAAAAGTGAGGGACCCTGAAAGTCTGGGTTTCATGCCAAAGGCAGAACATTGGATCATCTATGGAGCAAACTCACCTGCAACATTCCAGCTCCTTACTGAAGGACCTCCTTCCTAAGAAAATAGACTGCAAGCATTTCCTTCAGCTACCCTTTCTTTTAAAGGACTTGTGACTTAAATCCAATGGGCAGCATCCAGGGTTAGTCATACAGTAAAACCACAACTTGTGTTTGCTTTACTTACATGACTGCAACCTTACGTGGGGTGGGGGGTAAAATAAGCAGATAAATGGAAAGCCGAGGAACTAACTGCTTTATACTCTCCATTTATTTATTCCCTTACAGGGCTTTGGGGAGGGAGTGGGAGGGCTCTGACAGCATCCCAGAACCCTCACACAGCCAGGTAACCAAGGTGCCTAGCTTTGGGAAGGAGGCGCAGCAAGTATGGTGATGCCTTCCTTACTGATAAGGAGGTGGGAGGGTTCTGGGAGCATCCCAGAGGCCAGTAAAGAAAGTGCTTCTTTGCTGACCAGGGTCTGGGAAGGTTGCCCATGGCCCTCCTGCAACGTTCCCAGATGCAGGTAAGCAGCCCTCTGCCTTGCAGGGGTGTGGTTCCAGGGGTTCCTGGTCTTGCACACAGACCCTCAGAACCAAATAGTCACGTAAGTGGCATGCCCTCTGTACTCACAAGTACATGACTAAGTTAGAGCCATTGATTGCAATGGGTCTACTTAAGTAAGGTTTTAGTTGGACGCAACCCAAAGTCATTTAATTGGGGAAGCGCTGGTCTGTGACTCGCTTTAAGATAAAACCCCCAAATTTCCCTGTTAAGATCCCCACCTTTTTAAGCAGGTCTCTGGCTTCTTGCGTGAGGTAGGGAGGCAAGTTGAGTTTACACTTGAGAATCTTGTCAATGGTTTTCTTTCGATTCTCCCCAGTGAATGGGGGCTAGGGAATGTGGGAGACAGAAGAGAGGGGGTAGAAAAGAGAGAGAGGAGGCCATAAGGAACTATGCACCACAATTATGCAATTCCATAGAAAAATAGATACTCCTGCTTTAACATATTTTTATTTTAAAAAGCAAACACACAGTCCCAATTACAGTGGTACCTCGGATTAAGTACATAATTCGTTCCGGAGGTCCATACTTAATCTGAAACTGTTCTTAACCTGAAGCACCACTTTAGCTAATGGGGCCTCCTGCTGCTGCTGTGCTGCCGGAGCACAATTTCTGTTCTCATCCTGAAGCAAAGTTCTTAACCTGAAGCACTATTTCTGGGTTAGCGGAGTCTGTAACCTGAAGCGTATGTAACCTGAAGTGTGTGTAACCCGAGGTACCACTGTAAAGCAATTTCCACACAATGCTATTCTGAAGAAAGCTTTGGAAGTACAGCAAAAAAACCAGTCCCAATTCCTGGGCTGCAAAAACAATGGGAAGAGCACTGGGTTTGGTTTGGTTTTTAACGTAGGCAATCCAAGGCTCAATGGTAGCTCTGGGTGGATCATTTACATGCCACTCAAGTTGAAGCAGCCAATGAAGGGGAACTGGGGCAGGGGAGAACCAGGAGGGATGATGTCACATATGCTATTTAACAAAATGGCTGGGATGAGCAGACAACACACACCGGGCTGATGTATTCAGTCAGGAGGGCATGAAGCAGTTTGCAAGCGAATAACCACTAAAGATCTAACCTGACCATTAAAGCTAGCTCTGGGATTTTTATAAGGCTGTGAAAGCAAAAGATCTACAGTCCAACCCCCTCCCAGTGAATAAAGAGGAACACAAGGCCATATCCAAGTAAGTCCTACTCAGAGCAGCCCCACTGAATTAATGGACCTAATTAATGTTTGCTAATGTCAGCAGGTCTATTCTGAGTATGACTAGGGTTGGATACAGCCTATAAGGAAGCTGGCCAGCCCCTAGTCCATCCAGCTGACTTGGCAGCAGCCGCACGCCTGGGTTTCAGGAAGGCAGCCTCTCCCAGCCCTTCCCGGAGATGCCACTGAGGATTGAACCTGGCACCCTCTGCAATGTTCGGTCATTGAGCTATACGGCCTTCCCTTTTCCTCTTGCCACTTCCATCACTTTTATGAGATGCCACAAGTGAGCAATGGGCCTGCTTGCCTCCAAGTCCAAGCGTAAATTGACCCATCATTCCACCCTGCAAAGATGTGACAGCATCATTGCTCAGCGGGAGTTTCAGACATAAAGCACTGCCAGTGAGTGAAGAACCTCTGTATTTAATACGATGATTCCACCATGCAACACTGCGATTCCTGCACTGGACTAGATGATCCTTGGGATCCCTTCCAGTTTTACAATTCTACGATTCTATGAACACTTAAAAGCCCATCCATCTCATTAGAGATGGTACCATTGTTTTCATTTGCTTTACTTCTTTCTTTACATTTTCTGATTCTTAGCAATGGTGATCGATAAATGCTGCTTATAAGCTCATCAAGAGAGGCTAGTGAACTAATGCTCTAGGGCCATGAAATGAAAAGAAAGAAATGAAATGAAAGAAATGCATGCAGTTTATAAATGTGCACCTACTGCTCCAGTCAGCATGTCATACATTAATGCCCCCAAACTCCACCAGTCCACAGCACGGTTGTGCCCACTCCGCATCAAGATTTCAGGAGCCCTAGAAAGACAAGAAAAATCAAAGCAGAGAAGTTTTGAACAGGCAGATAGCATTAGCCTGCCCTCAAGGAAACATAATGAAGATGCAAAGATGCCCCGTATATGGCTTAAGTTGTATTGCTGTACAATTCTTACACACCCCTGCCCCCCAAAACCCTATCCAGAAAGGCTTGTAAATAGCCACTCACCTGTGGCGAGTAAAAACAGCCTCCAGGCAACCAGACAAGAAAGTTCTTTCTCACTGCTGTGTATGGATCCACATTTACTACAAGCCTCTCCTGACCTGTTGCTAAAATAACCTGCAACTGACTTCAAGTAAATGAAAACCAGGTACTTGGCTTGAATCTAGGGATTTGGAGTGACCATATCATTGTAAGCTTGTAGTAGATAGACGAATGTCACACTTTTCATGACATGTGGATCAGCACATAGTTGCTACATGCTTTGTGCTCCATAAATTAAAAGACAGATGTTACTGCTTGGCTGTGTAGTATAGTGGGATGTATGTACCTCATACCACAAAATCAGATCAAGGGAAGTTTCTGAAATATACGGAGCTTTGTTTTGTGGGTCATAAAATGTTTATCAGCTATCTTTTGCGCCATTGCGCATGAAGAGTGTAATGCTCATAAACCTGGTTCAACCTTACAACGGTACAACCTTACAATGGTACACGCATCCGCAGCGATTCCAGATTCCAAAATGCATGATTCCTAACAAGGAACTGTCAATGATCTGAGCTCAGCTGCCAAGTTACCACACCGCCAAAGCAGCATAATTTTACTAACTTAAGAATATGCAGGTGGCTAAACTAGAAATGAGTTTTAATGGCAAACTCAGTAAAAAGTTTTAGTTTGATTTACAAAGTTACGTATAAAATCTAGCTTCTTTCAAATATATATGGTTTAGATAAAGCCCTTCGGCTGTGGTGGGGAACCTGTGTCCCTCTGCATGCTACTGGACTCCAGCTCCCATCAGCCACACCAACAAAATTCACTGGTCAGGGATGATGGGGACTGCAGGCTGGCAGCATTGCTCTACTATGGTGTCAGGGAGACTTCTCTACATATAGTGTCTCAAATATTTATGGAAGTAGTCCTGAGCTCTATAGACAGCCTAGCCCCTTGCCCCTCACCCAAGAAAAGCCCATCATATATTGAGCTAAGTTTTTAAAAGGTAAAATTTAGCCATTACCCCCAGACCAGAGAAATACTTTTCTGTTTCATCATGCGGGCTCACATGTATTCTATTGTTCCACAGAATGTATGCGTGACAGTTCCATCATGAATGGATTCTTTACACAGTCCAAAATCTGTCAGCTTAACATGACCTAAAAGGAAACAGGAAAGGAACACTAACATGTCATTCTAGCAAGTCGTATCTGAGACCAAAGCCCCAGCTTGGGCATTTTTTTATTTTAACATACAGTACTTAATTTATAAACTGTTTTTCAGCAAAAGCCCCTCAAGGCAGATAAAGTAAGCCAATTAAAAATCTGTAACCTTAGGAACTATACCGATTCCCAACAGGAAAAACACACAAGCCCCACTCCATATGCCCCACAGGTTGAGATCCAATGTTAGTCATAACTCAGAACAGGCTCACTGAAATCAATGGACTAAAAATATTAAGTCCACTGAAATCAACAGACTTTCTCAGAGAAAGACTTAACAGGGTATTACTCTGGAGACTTCAAATGCTTGCTGGCATACAGCTTGCTTTCAAAAGATTGAAATAACATATATAACCATGCGGTATCTTGAGGGTGGCATGAAGAGCAGTGCCCTTTTTTGCCCTAACAGATAATCTAGATTTCCGACTGCCTCAGGAGAACATAGGGGAAGCATTAAGCCACTCTGGGAGCCTTTCAGGCTGAACAGCAGGGTAACATGTTCTAAATAAACAAAACAGACTTCACAAATGGCAGGATTCAGTCTGAGAAAATGGGGCAGGGAGGGACAGCTCAAACAAGAGAGGCGCGTCAAAGACACCCAATCCCTTTTCCATTTCTCTTCTGCGTTTTTTTTAGATTTGAAGCCTGGAGGCAGGAACGGTCTTAGCGCAGAGATGCAAGCTTTTTCTGGCTGGAGAGAAATGCTTTAAATCATCCCTCACCAACCTGCCACCCTTCAGATGATTCTGGACTGCAACTGCCAGCCTAGCTAGGGCTGATGGGGAAAGAAGGCAACCTTTGAAGGTCACATGCCTTTGTTAGGCAAAAGTGGGCAGAGCACCAATTGTGACCCCTCTCTATCCTTGATTCAGGCAACCAAGAGGCATTATAAAGTTCAAGGACACATCCCAGCCTGCCAAAAACACTCAATGAGGATGCAGAGGAGGGCCAGGGTGGGATGTGGCTGGGAAAGGTGTGTGATGGGGGAGAATCCCAAAGGCTAGGCAGAGAGACCAGCGTTTGGCCACTGGGCCTGAGGGTTTCCCACCCTTCTTTCAGAACTATAAAGCTATGGCACATGCCAACACACGAGCTCACTGTTGTACCACTAACCTTGGTGGTTGAGCATGATGTTTTCTGGCTTTAGATCTCGATAGATGATCCCCTTCTGATGCAGGTGCCCCAAAGCCATTGAAATTTCAGCCAAGTAGAAGCTGAAATGCAAGAATTTCATTAACAAATCAATGCCAATAGCAACACGTCATATCTGAGTACAATTCTGTGGCTCAATATTAAGATACCGCACCAAACTGTGGTTTGCACTAATCATCATTTTAGAATGCGAACCAATCATAGATCAGGCTAGCCAAGATACCTAAATGGTTTATTTCTCCATCCACTTCCTACCCCAGCCCCTAGGTGGGACAGCATTCAGAGAGGGAGCAACAACCATATGGTTTGTCAATTCAGACATCACACCAAACCACACTCAGTACAAACCACGGCCTGCACACTCGATTCAAACACCATTTCCAGTTCTGCTTTGTCAGATGTGACAATGGTTTTTAAATTCAGACATCACACCAAACCATAGTTTTGAGATAAGCCTGCAATTTCACTGCCAGCGTAAGTTAGTTCTGCTCCTCAGGAGCTGGAGGGCGAGTACTCAAGCTACTAAGCTGAAGAACTGAATCTCTTTACTTCACTTCCCTCCTGGCCAAAACAAGTGCATTCTGACGGATTCTCCCAGCATCCCAGAGTGTACACAGAAAATACCGTATTTTTTGCTTTATAAGACGCACCTTTCCCCTCCTAAAAAGTAAGGGGAAATGTGTGTGCATCTTATGGAGTGAATGCAGGCTGCACAGCTATCCCAGAAGCCAGAACAGCAAGAGGGATCGCTTTGCAGCGAAAGCAGCGATCCCTCTTGCTGTTCTGGCTTCTGGGATTCAGAATATTTTTTTCCTTGTTTTCCTCCTCCAAAAACTAGGTGCATCTTATGGTCTGGTGCATCTTATAGAGTGAAAAATACAGTACTTACTATTCCACAGTTCCAAACAGGGGATCCATGCACTGTTTTCTTATATCTGGGTATTTTCCACAGGAACATAAGTTCATACAGAATACCCAAACTTGCCAGTTTGTTCAAAATGGGCAACAATTATTCAACTCCGCAAAGGTTAACACTTTCCCAGAAACTTCCTTATGTAGGAACACAGGAAACTGCCTGGTTGTTGAGGCCTGGAAATTGGAACTTGTTTGTCTTACCAAGCTGTGTCTTCCATAAATATCCCCTCTCTCTCCAACTGCATGAACAGTTCTCCTCCTGCAATGAAATGGGTATCGGGTGGAAAGAGAAAGGTAAGAAACAATAAGTCATCTTTCTGCTATATACGGTACGTGAAAAAGCTTCCACCCCACACTGCTGGCTGGCTACAATACCAGAATTCACATTCTGACCATCAGTTGCATCCTTACCACTAAGATACTCAAGGATGAGGTAGAGTTTTCCACCAGTCTGAAAGGCATAAATCAAGTCTACAATGAACGAATGCTTGACTTCCTCCAAGATGTTCCGCTCTGCTTTCGTGTGAGCTGTATCTTTTGCATTTCGCACAATCATTGCCTAGAGAACAGAGACTTCAACAGTAAAGACAATGTTCTAAAGACTGCACCAGAAACCAACTGTTAGCAATCCCACAATACACACGTCACCAATTATTGGCATCAGCAAATTGAAGGACTGATTCACACATAACTCTCAAACCATGGTTTTAAGAGGGGAGGGCATGCCTTGGGCTCACACACGCTGCCCCTGCTCCCCTGGCTTTGATTCAATCCCTGCTTCACCACAAGCCAAAGTTTCCCATTAAATTCAAACTAACCAAGCAAGCTACCATAAGCACTAACAAGTGTGCCTTCAAATCATGGTTTGAAGTGGGTTTCCAGTTCTTGTTTACATGGGGTTAACAGTAAACCGTAGACTTATACAAATAAATGCAAGGGTGTCATCAGGAGTCTTGGCTTGGGCATAACACTTGAGCTGAGCCAAGAGAGTAAACTTCTGGGCCAAGGGTTGCCACCAGCAAGTCAACGTCAGCTCTTAATAAAAAGTGCTAGCTGGTACTTGACAACACACTGGACACTTCTTCTTGCTCTATTCCAATTGTTCTCTCATTCAGCTGGACTTTGCATTCATTGTTACAAGAAACATGTTGTGATGAGATCAATGATTCCTCACACAATTAAAAGTGCATCTGAATCTCTTCTACCTCAAATAAATGGGACTAAGTGGTATGCCTCAGTTGGATCATGTCCAGAGTAATTTAGGTTTCAACAGACCAATATGCACTCGACAACCTTTTAAAAAATGTAAGTCAAAGGGCTCTGCAAAGGGCTATGCTATGCTAATATACTGCCATAAGCCATAAATAAAAATACTGGCTTGCAAAATATATCTAACAGACCTCCCCTTGCGTGACTTGCTCTCAAAACAAAACAGAGGTCCAAAAGTTTGTGTGCAAACCTATAAAGAATTTCGGAGTCATTAAAGAAACAGTCGATTCCAATTCATAAAACAAGTGGTAGCCAATGTGGTGGCCTCGAGACATTTTGGACTACAACTGCCATCATTCCCAACCAATATGGCCAATAGTCAGGAATGATGGGAATTGTAGGCCAGCAAAAATAGATAGATAGATAGATAGATAGATAGATAGATACCCAGACGCACCACGTTGCCAACCTTGGCATTAACAAATAAGAACATAAGAAGAGCCTGCTGGATCAGGACATGACCAACATCCTATTCTCATAATAATAAATAATAATAAATTTTATTTATATCCCGCCCTCCCCAGCTGAAGCCGGGCTCAGGGCGGCTAACAACAATAAAACAGTACAAAAGTACAGCATAAACAACATTCTAAAATCATTCATTATAAAATTAATGGTTATAAAGATGGCATTCCCTGCCCTGCCTAGAAGATACCAAGAAGCAATCTGGAAATGTGTGCAGGGAAGGCATTTGCTGCACCACTAATAGTGGTCCATGTTCCCACAAGCATGATGTGAGAACAACAGAACTCCCCACACACACACCCCTGAAATTCCCAGGAACTGGCATACTAGTTACTGGTTTCTATTCTAGAAGAGAGTGCAGCAGTTTTGATTATAGGAAGCTGCCTTGCACCATTTCGGACTAGTTGTTGATATTGTCTACTCTGACCAGTGGAGGCTCTCCGGTCTCAGAATTTCGGACTAAGAAAGAACGGCTATGCTCTGCCTCCACACTCAGAGGCAGCAATGCTTGTGAATAACAGTTGCTGGAAACCAAGGAGGGGAGAGGGCTCTTGTGGTCAGGTCCTCCTTGTGGGTTTCCCACAGGCATTAAGTGAGAACAAGATGCTGGACTAGAAGGGCCACTGGCCTGATTCAGCAGGCTCTTCTTCCGTCTCATCAGCTTCTCACTGGTCTGTTTTTTTAAAAAAGAAAAACAGTGCAAAACCTGGAAATGCCAGGGATTAAAACCAGGACTCTCTGCCAGTGACATGAGCTCTTGTCGCTGAATATGATCTCTTCCCCTCAAGACAGCCCCTCTTATTTAATAGCTAAATGTCAAAAGCCAACTCACCTTTTTAAGCACCTTCATGGCAAATATCTTACCAGTATTGGCTCCCGTTACTTTTCGAACTTGGAAAACCTGTCCAAAACAATTGAGAATAATTAGATGCCTTTTTAAAAGAGAGTTAGCAGACACTGCAAGGTCTGCTGTTTGAAGCTCTTCCACTACCAGGGAGCGGTAGAGAGAAGTCTTTTGACTTCAAACCAGCCAGAAAACTTCTGTTTTAGATCATCTTATAAATAACATGCATATATTTATTTCCCCACCTCCCCAGTATTTATAGCATCTCTCAACAAACTCACACACCTCATACTTCTTACCTTTCCATAGCCACCTTTTCCAAGGACACGTAGCAGCTCAAAGCACTCTGGGCGGATCTTTTCAGGGCCTCTGTTCACACTAGTTTCCGAAATCTCAAATTTTTCACAATGCTCCATGCCACTAACAAACAAAAAAGTTTCAAAATTAGGGTAGCCTTTAAAACAATACTAAGTACATTAACTAGTCTGTATATAACTAACAGCCTCCCTGTGAGGTGCTCAGGAAGGGATGGGGGAGAAAGTATTATTTAGAATACAAACTGGAATACAAACTCTGACCACTGCAGATATGAGTTCTAAACAATTTGAAATGTTTAATTTAAGAAATACATTTTTTCAAAGCACAGCAAAAAAAATTTTGAAAAAATAACATGAAACGTTGCTGAAGTCAGGCAAATGAAACCATTCTAACACATGTGCATCAATCCAGACTTCCTTATATGCTTGAACAGGATGCACACATGGACCTAAGCATAGTGCTCTGAAAGCACTAGTTTTAAAGGGGAAAGAGAGATAAGCAAACTACTAGAGGCCAATGCCAACTGCAGAGGATACAATACCTTCATATACAAGGGAAGGGAGACCCCCACAGCCCCCTGCCCACAATTGCAATTGCGGCAAGTAGGACACAATACAGGAAACCTCTTTTTGCATCTGAAACAGCTCTTGCTGGATTAAGACAATAAATTATTGATATTGGCCTGTTTAGGTTTACAGCCTACTCCAGGGATTGACAATGTGGTGTCTGTGGCTGCAAGGCAGCCCTAAGGTCTACTCTGTGCCCACAAAGCCTTTGAGTCTCCCTGATCATTAAGTAATGAGAGTGGGCAACATTTGCTCTCTTAAAAAGTAAATAGAACTGAAGGAGGAAACTGATAGAATGACACTCTTTCCGACTTCCTTTTTCAGCTCTCTGCTTTTCAAGGTTTAGTTTAATACTACCAGGTTCAACTTTTAACCAGATTCCTTGGGAAATCTGTGTGTGCATGTGCTTTTTCTCATTCTGTCTCTTGGAGGGGGGAGGAAGGAGATCTTCCAACAAGCAATCCTAACACAGAGGTAGTTACCAGCTGGGAGATATAGCTGTTGAAACCGAATATAGGCACAGAAACAAGGAGACTGAGACCAAAAGCTGTTTCAAGGGCCCTCAGAATATTGCATGGTTCACTCTTGAGCTCCTGCCTGCACAAGGAGCAATTTCATAGGCAGGAACAGCTAATTAAACATGATGGCATTGCTGCCTGGACTCTAGCACTGACTTAGGACAGGACTGTTTCCTCCCCAACTCTTCCATTGACAAGGATCCATTTCCAGTTAAAAACTTACAGCTCATATGGGACAACTCCCCCATGGTCCATGCTTTCACTTAAGTGACCCTAAAACAAGATAAGCGGGGAGGAGAGAGAGAGAATCAGAAAAGTAAACAGTGATTGTTTAGAAAGAACTACAATTTTTGCTTAAACATTAACCCAGGATTTAGGACTGACAGCACTGCAAGACTGCATTCAGATCTTACATAAGCACAGTCAGCAGCAGGGTATGGTAATTCCTATGCTGGGTTTTTGTGGAACATCCACAGAGTTCGACAGGAGCGCTGCCAAATCCTCCAAAGCACAGCACAGGGACTCAGCACTCTTTACCCAACTACACTGCTACCCAATTTCGTACAATGCCGACAGTCAGTAATTTAGCTCTTAAAAAATGGGTCTTTTCTGGACACTACAGATCAGAACTGTTTTTTACCACTGAGAACTTACTGCACTGGGGAAAAGCAGGATCTGCTTTATTATACAAAATGAAGACAACGCCTAGGTCCCCAACACCAGGGCTGCTGTGACTTAATGGGCTGGACCCAGAGTTATGCAAACAGAACTCTATCCAGGCAATTGCCCTCTCCTCCCCACTGCAGCCCCCTCCCCCCCAAAATTCCACTTGTTCAGCTCCCTGAAGCTCAGCTTGGCGAGTTTATAGAAATATTGCATGGAGGATGGAGCAAGCTTGTCTTCTCTGGCTCCAGAAGGTAGGACCCAAACCAATGGCTTCCTGATGGTAAGAGCAGTTCAACGGTGGAATGGACTCCCTTGGACGGTGGTGGGCTGGCCATCTGTCATGGATGCTTTTGCTGAGATCCCTGCATACCAGGGGTTGGACTAAATGACCCTCAGGGTCCTTTGCAACTATACAATTCTATGTTTCTATGACTGCAGCCTATTTTTCTTTTAAACTGCATGGAGAAGCATCTTTTCAGCCTGACGTCACTCCAAACAAGTTTATAATCTGCTGTTTGTGAAAACTAAACCTGCGTCACATATGAAGGAGAGACCATAGGAAAAGTTAGCCTTAAAAAGCTACTAATATTATTTGCCCACCACCACCACAATCTATGCTTGGCATAGCTTACATGGGATTGATTTTATTCATTTACAGAGTCTGAAGCTTAGACATCACCACCACTTCACCAAGGGTAACAGGACTGTTTCCAGTCCTCTCAAAAACTAAAATACAGTTGTACCTTGGTTTTGAACGCCTTGTGACTTGAACATTTTGGCTCCCGAAAAGCCGCAAAACCGAAAGTGAGTGTTCCAGTTTGCAAACTTTTTTTGGAAGCCGAACATCCGACGCGGCTTCCGATTGAGTGCAGGAAGCTCCTGCAGCCAATCAGAAGCCACACCTTGGTTTTTGGAAGTTGAACAGACTTCCAGGACAGATTCCGTTCGAGAACCAAGGTACGATTGTATTGCTTTGCTTCATTCTACTGCCTTATCACCAGCAGTTACAACTAATGTCAGGAGTACAAAAATCCAAGCACTTAAGGGAGGGGGGTGTGGACTGGTGATCGACTCCTGGATAAAGGGAGGGGTCAGGAAGCAGGTTTCTAGGAAAACCTTGCTGGGCCCAATGTTTTGCAAAACAATTTGCACCTAAGACTACTGTTAGTAAGTAGAACAGTGGTCATGTATCCACCCCAGATAGGAATAAATTACTTGTGTACAACATTGGTGGCATAATAACAAACTGGTTGTGTATATGAAGACCTAGGAGACGAAAAGACTATTTCATCCAGGCAAGTTTGAAAAGATATACCACAATGCACAGACAGAACAGATGATTCTACAATAGCGTGCACACACACACACACACACACACACACAAATGGGACAGGCTGATGAGCATAAAACCACCTGTCATGCAACAATGGCAGGATCAAAAGCAACCTCAGAGCACATGGGTTTTGATCTACAAAATCAGAACGCTACTTAAAAGCTTTAAAATACCATTTTGAGTGTATAGTGGCACAAGTAACAGCAGATATTCTTTATTTTCAGGTAAAACACTAATTAAAAGCCTAGTCAGTGTGTGTGTGTGTATATATACATGCCTTTATATAAGATGTGTTATATAAGCATTTTCGTTTGAAGAACATTTACCTTCAATTTGGACGCTAGCTTGCAGCACCACAAAACAGCATCAATATTTGCAGACCTTCACAAGAAGGTTAAATGAGGTCACCCCTCACTGTATTGATGCAGTTAAGTTCTTCTGCAGAATAACCCTAGAAAAACTGGAAGCTACCTTATACAGTGGTACCTCAGGTTACAGGCGCTTCAGGTTACAGACTCCGCTAACCCAGAAATAGTACCTCGGGTTAAGAACTTTGCTTCAGGATGAGAACAGAAATTGTGCAGTGGTGGTGGGAGGCTCCATTAGCTAAAGTAGTACCTCAGGATAAGAACAGTTTCAGGTTAAGAACGGACCTCCAGAACGAATTAAGTTCTTAACCCGAGGTACCACTGTACTGGATCACACCACTGTTGTCTAGTTCCGTCTAGAGTAGAGCTCTGTCTAGCTCTACTCTACATCAACAGATAGCAGCTGTTTGGGATTTCAAATGAGTCCCTCTTCCAGCCATACCTGGAGATGCCAGTGCTCTGCCAATGAGCTATGGCCTTCTCCTAACCCTAGGAACTTGCAATATTTGTCAGGTTTCAAGGAAGCTGGATCTTTACCATGGAAGCTGTGCTCAACTACAGCCAGTACTCATGCACTGGCTCAACAAGTCTCCTAAGACAACTTACGGCCAGCAAACTAGCAGCAACACCGTTCCACAGGCCTAGAACACTCACAGCCTGATCATAGGCATGTTTATGCAGAACTAAGTCCAATGGAACATATTCCCAATGTATGTATGCATTAGACTTCAGTCCCAAGCACTCCAAACAAAACTTGGCAAATAACAGAATACTCTAATAAACTGGCATTCTGGAGGGAGTCTGTCTCTTGGCACACTCATGTTTAGACAGTTGCACTAGCAAAAAAACTGATGTGTCAACTATGTGCTGCTAAGAGAAATTGGACCCATTTAACCCCAAACACACGGAGGACTCTGCAGAGATTAGATTGAAATTTCTGGCATTTTTCGCAATTTGTGCTTTTGTAATCCTTTTTATTCTTTTAATGACTTGTATACTTTTAGCGGGACAACTTTTTTGTTCTTTAAGGTTTAAAAATTAAAAGTTTTTAAAAACCCAAATGGGACACAGCAAGTATTCTTTGCCCTTATCCAGAGTGTATTGCAGGGAATGAATACACCTGAATATTATTTTGTGTTCACTTGTGCTTCAGCACCCATTTATCAAACACAAAAGCAGTAGCCCCATTGGAGCAAGGGGACCCCCAAGCCCAGCCTTGTTTGTAACCCACTCACTTGGCTTACCACAGGCAACCAGGAATGTTAACCTGGGCTCCGCCTCCTTTCCAGAGCACTTTTGCTTCCTTCCTGCCCAGTGCTGAAACCAAGCAGGCTGTGGAAGCTTAAGAGTGCTTTGTCACTCCTCAAGCATTTCCATACTGTACGTGCAAGAGGTGATGTGCCTTCCAATACATTCAGCATAGTAACCAAGAGGACGAATGACAAAGCTCTCCTTCCCTCTTGCTGTCAGCCAGCTATGTATCTATGGTAGACAAGCAGCAGGCCAACCTTCAGCACATTCAGCACATCAACCCAGTACAGTGGTGCCTCGCAAGACGAAAAGAATCCGTTCCGCGAGTCTCTTCGTCTTGCGGTTTTTTCGTCTTGCGAAGCAAGCCCATTAGCGGCTTAGCGCTATTAGCGGCCTTAGCGGATCAGCTGATAAGCGGCTTAGCGGATCAGCTGCTAAGCGGCTTAGCAGCTTGGGAAAAAGGGGGGGGGGAGAAAAAAAGCACCTGCAGGAACTCGCAAGACATTTTCGTCTTGCAAAGCAAGCCCATAGGAAATTCGCTTTGCGAAGCACCTTCAAAACGGAAAACCCTTTCGTCTAGCGGGTTTTCTGTCTTGTGAGGCATTCGTCTTGCGGGGCACCACTGTATGCTGATGGGCAATGGACAGATCAAGGCATGAAATAAAACCCACTTCCTTTCTATGCTGGATGTGTATTACAGGGCTTTAGCTCCTATGTGCCTAACAGAGAAACACTGCAAAGGGACATAGCTCTCTGTCACAAGCCTGCTGAGTTGACACACAGGAAGCCCCATTCTATTACTCCAGCACAGAAACCATGTGAGCTGGCAGCATATATAACTTCATCCCTCCATTGCCAATCCGCTGCACTGCCTCACTGGAGTGAGGAGACAAAGTTTCTTCCTGCACAACCAGGCTAAGTAGAAGAGGCACAAGGAACACTGATTTCTAGCCTGCAAAATGTTTTTACTTACCTGCTTTTAACTCATAAAAGAGGGGCAGGCAGTGCTCTGCTTGTCTTTAACAGTCCCTTTTATGGGTAAAATTATTACAAGATATTGTGTGCCCCTCAAAAGTTACAAGGCTGCTCTAATCAGGCAGAGCCACATTCATTTCCCAGACAACCCTTTCCCCACATATAGCAGTATCTGCATGTTCTTATCACCACATACTATATTTTGCCTCCCCTTAATACATTAAGTCAAAATACAGTGGTGCCTCGCAAGACGAAATTAATCCGTTCCACGAGTCTCTTCGTCTTGCGGTTTTTTCGTCTTGCGAAGCACGGCTATTAGCGGCTATTAGCGGCTTACTGGCTATTAACGGCTTAGCGGCTTTAAGAAAAAGGAAACAAACCCGCAAGAACTCGCAAGATGTTTCGTCTTGCGAAGCAAGCCCATAGGGAAATTCGTCTTGCGAAGCACCTCAAAAAACAAAAAACCCTTTCGTCTAGCGGGTTTTTCGTCTTGCGGGGCACCACTGTAGAGCAGTTTCTGAAAATTCACTCCACAAAAATGATTTTAAGCAAAAGGCAAAATACTGAAATTAATGGCCCCAGCTTAGTCACATTCATTAATTTAAATAAGTCTACTCGGAATAACTTAGTTGAATACCAACCCGTATTTCCTCACTCCCATGACTAAGCAGCATCTATTAAGATTAACTGGGTCGTTAACAATAAGTGCACTAGTTCACTTATTAAAGCACTGTTATCATTAGTAATAAATTCCACAGGAGAAGATGTGTTGTTGCAGCAAGAACAGTAGAAAGTCTTGTGATACTTTAAAGACCAAGGCTGCAATCCTAACCACACCTACCTGGGAATAAGCCCCATTAAATTCAGCAGAACTTACTTCTGAATAGACATGATTAGGATGGTGCCATAAAGTGCTTATAGGGTTTTAGCCTATCTAAGAGTAAACCTCATTGACCTCAAAAGGACTTTCTTCTGAGGAGATGTGGAAAAGATCGAACTGCATCAGATTTATTGCAGCATCAGCTTTCATGGACTTGTGCCCACTACATCTCACTCAGATTCATTGAAATGCAACTATTACCTGACAAAGTGAGCTCCAGCCCCACCAAAGTGGATGCTGCAATAAACCAGTTAAGTTTTGAAAGGTGCCACAAGACCTTTATCACTACTGAGTTCTTAATGCAAGCTGCTTCTGCGCATTCTGTAAAAAAAGACAGGGAATAAGTGCCTTTTGCTACCACAAAATGTATTAATGGCCACTAGGAACATAAGAAGCTGTCCTATACCGAGTCAAGCTGTTGGTTCACCTAGCTCAGTAACTGCCTAATAATCATGAGAATAACCTGTGACATAATCATTAATTTATTACCGCTGGATCATCATAATCCTGAATTTAAACATAATAATAACCTGTCAGACGCAATGCAGAAACAATCATTTAATATTGTATTATTACTAGATCTTAAGTGTAGTAATAATCATAATAAAATGCACAATGCAGGAACCTAAAAAATAGTAAGAACACGTGTCAAACCCAATGCAAAAACACGACCACGGATTTGTATGCTTTTATTACTACTCTCGCTATTCTTCCTACTGCTCATGCCAAAGGCACAATGCGGGAAGGCCGTAATAACAGCAGCAAACGCCGTTAGTACAATGCAGGAATAGCAAGTCAGTTATAACGGAACCATCCTCGCCGCCCCCAAGAGCCACCCGTCCGCCTCGGAAGCGGCCTCGCCCGGCCCGCCTCCCTCCTTCCGACCGGGGCCTCCGCCGCCTCGCCCTCCCCGCCCCCGAGGCCTGAGCCGGGCTCCCCCTCCCGGCCGGGCACATGGGCCGGGCCTGCCTCACCCCCTCCTCCAGCTCCTCGTCCGAGGCCGCCTCTTCGGGCTGGTCCAGGTCGATGTCGAAGACGCCCGCCATGGCCTGGGGAACGCGAGCGGCGGCGGCGGCGGCACAGCCGGAGCCGCCCTTCGCTGCCTAGTGGCGAGAGCGCGCGGGTGAGGGCCGGAGGGCCGCCTCATGGGCCCGCAGCGGCAATCCCGAGCGCCGCCATGACGGCCGCCATCGCCCAGGCTAGCCGGAGACCTTCCCCCGCCCGCTCAGCGCGCCTGCGCGGCTCTTCCCCTCCGGAGGGACTGCGCAAGCGTGGGGCGGCGCCGGGGAGGTGGGAGGCCAGGGGCACCTGGGCCCGCGGAGCCAGTGCGCAAGCGCCAAGAGCACGCGGCGGCGCTTTCCGAAAGGGGCCGTTACTCTCTCTCGCGCGCGCGTCGACGTCACTCGCCACACGTAAAACGGCGCAAGCGGCGTAGCGCCATCTGTCGGCCCGCACGCGCCGTGGTAGAAATTTTACTTTTATTCTCAGGCTAGATATACGTAACTCGACGGTTCTCTACGTCGTTGCTTTTTTTTTTTCTTTGTAGCGAGCATGCGCACAGCACGTCGGGCTCCACACCACGCGGACGTCGCGCATGCGTACGGTCCGGCAGCCTGCGCACGCGCGCTGACGCAGCTGCTGTGCCCTCCTTTAGCGCTTGTCCCCTTTTCACCACCAATTTTCCCGCCTGAGCCAGCGACGGAAGGGGAGCATGCGCAGAAATGCTCGCAGGACGGGGTCGAAGGTGCTGTGACAGTTGGTACAGGTGGTCAATGGATGAGGTGCAGCTGTGGAAGGGTGAGGCTACGCGCGTGCGCCTTGAGGGAGGGAAGGGTGTTAAATGGGGGAGGGGGATAAATGGGAAAAGGCGGGAAATTATGAGGTGAAACGCGCGCACAGATTGAATTTATAGGTTTTTTTTAAAAAAAAAATGCTTGTGTGTATTTGCCTGTAACTACATATGTATAAAACCATGTTCATTAATTCGCTGTTTTAAAAATATTATATATTTTTAGTTTTATTTATTATTAATCTGGTCCCATGAAATATCCTGAAGGTGTTTTTAATATATCAGTACCTTGATCTGTTAATATTACTAGTTTCAATATTTAGCCTCTGTGGCACAGCACAATCTGATGCATCTTTACTCAGAAGTAGGTGCCACTGAACTCAGTAGGGCAGGCATAGGCAAACTCAGCCCTCCAGATGTTTTGGGACTACAACTCCCATCATCCCTGACCACTGGTCCTGTTAGCTAGGGATGATGGGAGTTGCAGTCCGAAAACATCTGGAGGGCTGAGTTTTCCTATGCCTGCAGTAGGGCTTTCTCCATTGTAGGTATCTTCAGGATTGCAGCCTTAATATTTGCATGGTATACACCGTGCCTTTCAAGCATATGGCTTTCCCCAACAAATCATGGAAACTGTAGTTCTGCACCCCCACAGAGCTATAATTTCCAGCGTTATTAACATACTATAGTCCCTAGTATTCTTTTGGCGAAGCTGTGTGCTTTACATGTATGGTTGTGTATGCAGCCATCGATAATAGGCTACAATATTTGAATACTTTTTAACTTTGGTAGACTTATGGCAAGGCTACTCTCACGCTGCGCGTCCTTGATTTCAGTGGGAGTTAATGCACGAGCGAGTGTACCTTGAATTGCAGCCCAACAGTGCACTTCCAAACGTAGCTACTCAAATGTCAGTCCTACTGAGTTTAATGGGGCTTCCTCCCAGGGACGTGAACGTAGGATTACAGTTTAACAGCTGGACATGATTTGTTTGTAGGATTGAGGCTAAACTAGAGGAGAATGTCTATCATCACAATACAACTTGGTCAGTGCGGCAACCAGATCGGTCGCGAGGTGTTTGATACCATCTGCACAGACTTCCGCAGTACGCATGGCTTGTGCTCCAAAAAGGAAAATGAGTCCTTCCAGGCAGCCTGCAAAGAGCGGTTCTTCAGCGAGGAGAAGTCCAGAGGTATGACACGTACATACATACATAACTTTATTTGTATGTTCAAACAATGTTCAAGGCAGCTTACAGCATGAAAAGAATACATAACCACAACATAGCAGAAAAAGTCATAAGCAATAAAAAAGTTAAAAAATACACAACCAAACTGAACAGTTTCCACATAAATGTCCAAGTATCTAAAAATAAAGATACAAAAATCAACAGCAACAACTTTCCACACCAGCAAAAAGCCCTAGCCCAAGAGTCTGTTCAGCAACCTCAGCTTTTTTGTGTACAGTGGTGCCTCGCAAGACGAAATTAATTCGTTCCGCAAGTTTTTTCTTCTTGCGAGTTTTTCGTCTTGCGAAGCACGGTTTCCCATAGGAATGCATTGAAAATCAATTAATGCGTTCCTAGGGAAACCGCTTGCCAGGCTGGCGGTGCGGAGAAGGGCTTTTCTCCCCACCGCAAGCCTTCAGGACAGGTACGGGAACAGAGGGGAAGGCACGCAGCTTGCGTGGGAGGAGGGTTTTTCCTCCCCACCGCCAACATTCAGAACAGCATTCAAGAGGGCAAATCAACAACCAGAAACGCATCCACTTTGGGTGTGTGGAATTCTGCGTGTGATTGGATATTGTAATATCTCAGGGTGTTGCTCCAGGTGAGAGGTTGCGCCCTTGCTGCCATTCCACACTTAAAACAAAAAATGAAGAAGCCTAGAGGAGCAATGTAAAGGGTGGACCAGCAGGGGCAAAAGCTAGCCTCTGCACTACAGTGTTGCCTCCGGTTGTGGATGGGATCCGTTTTGGAGCTCCGGTTGGATCCTGAGGAATTCACAACCGGAGGTGCCTGTTCTGCGCGGCACGGTAGAGCGCTTTTGCACATGTGGCAAAACCTGGAAAAATACTTCCAGGTTTGCCGCGTGTGTAACCCGAAGGATACACAACCAAAGGTGTGTGTATCCAGAAGTACAACTATTGCAAAAAATGAATAACATTGGGATTAATAGCTTAATAGCTTAATAGCAGAGCAACAGCTTTGATTGTGGAAAGAGCCAGGTTGAATTCCTGGCAGGGAGAGACCCTAGCCTGAAAGCCTAGAGAGCTGCTGCCAGTAAGTGTAGACAATACTGAGCAAGATGGACCAGCAGTCTGATTCGATAAAAGGCAGCTTCCTGTGTTCCTTTTTTAAGTCACAAACTAGCACCTGGGGAATTGTGCTGCTTGTCCTTGGCATCGCCGAAGTTGTCCAGTAGGTGTCAGTGGCATTCACACAGCCGCCTTCCATCAATAACAATGGGCCCATTATTTGGGTGACACCTTGAGGGATCCCAAGTCTACATCATTTGACTTTTATTTTCTTCCTCATCAGTGCTGGCTGCCCGGGCTGTCCTGGTTGACATGGAACCTAAAGTGATTGGTCAGACTTTATCAACGGCTTCAAGGTCTGGTACCTGGAACTATGACCATCGGTCCCACTTTTGTCAAAAGCAAGGGTCGGGAAACAACTGGGCAAATGGGTATGTTTGGTTTTATCAATGGTGCCAAAGAAATGTATCTCTGGATTGCTAACATTTATAATCCAGCTACAAAACGCTCCAAGCTCCTTTTTGTTCTCTTCCCCACCCCAATTTGTGCCACAGCTACTGCGTTCATGGGCCCAAGCACAAAGAAACAATCATGAACTTGGTACAGAAGGAAGCTGAGAAATGTGACCGGCTGAGTGGATTCCTGACGGTTATGAGCATGGCGGGTGGGACAGGATCGGGTCTGGGGACGTTTGTGACAGAAAGCCTGAAAGACACCTACCCCACCTCATTCCTGTTAAACCACGTTATCTGGCCCTACAGAACTGGAGAGGTGAATGCCATAGCTCTATGATGGTGGGGGTTGAACCTGGATTTGAAGCATGTGCTCTTTCATAGGGACATCAGATGCTGCCTTATGCTGTGTCGTCTAGCTCAGTATTGTGTGCATTGACTGGCAGCAGCTCCCTAGGGTTTCAAATAAGGGGCCTCTCCCATTCCTACCTGTAGAATGATGCTGGAGATTGAACTTGCGACCATCTTAATGCAAAGCATTAAGGTGAAGAGGAATGTAGGGTGTTGGCATCCTAGGAGCACTGTTCACTGCAGTTTTCTGCAACCTCCTGTATGCATGTCATGCGCTCTGCTTACCCTCCACAAAGCAGTGGTGGTTGGTGCCCATTGGACTGGTAGGGCAAAAGGCAGAGAAGCCAACAGTAGATGGAGCCAGAGCCAATGCCAACTACAGTGGTACCTTGGTTCTCGAATCCAGTTCTGGATGTCCGTTCGACTTCCAAAACATTTGAAAACCAAGGTGCAGCTTCCGATTGGTTCAGGTGCCCCGGAAACAATAGCCGACAGCCGCATCGGATGTTCAGCTTCTGAAAAGCATTTGAAAACTGGAACACTTCTGGGTTTTCGGCGTTCGGGAGCCGAAATGTTTGAGTACCAAGGCGTTCGAGAACCAAGTTTCCACTCTAGTTTTGACCTCACTGCTGAGCTCTACAAAGGCAATAATGAGACTAGGGAGGAGGAAGATGGCAGCCAGTGCCACTCCCTGGGGTGGAGGCAAGTAAGAAGGCAAGCAGGTGGGAACTGGCTGAGTTCAGACTCAGGTTTGTGGGGCAGTGCCCCATTTGCCATAATAGACCAACCTCAGTTACCCCACGGACAGCAAATCCCCTCTGATGAGATCATCTCCATGTGGAAAACTGTAACATCCACTCCCTGTTTTCCCCCTGCATTTCCAGGTTATTGTTCAAAACTACAACTCTGTCCTGACCCTCTCACACTTGTATCAGTCTTCGGATGCCCTCCTGGTTCATGAGAACGATGCCATCCACAAGATCTGTGCTCAGCTAATGAACATAAAGCAGATATCTTTTCAGGATGTAAATCGAGTCATCGCCCATCAGCTGGGGAGCGTCTTCCAGCCGGCTTACTCCTCTGAAAGTGCCGCTCACTACAGCAGAAGCCCCCTAGGTACAGTGGTACCTCGGGTTACATACGCTTCAGGTTACACACTCCGCTAACCCAGAAATAGTGCTTCAGGTTAAGAACTTTGCTTCAGGATGAGAACAGAAATTGTGCTCTGGCGGCGCGGCAGCAGCGGGAGGCCCCATTAGCTAAAGTGGTGCTTCAGGTTAAGAAGAGTTTCAGGTTAAGAACGGACCTCTGGAACGAATCAAGTACTTAACTTGCGGTACCACTGTATCTGGTGTTAACTGAATTTCTAGCGCTGTCCTCCTGCTCTTGAGGTTTTCAGTGGATTGCAAAGTAGTCCATATAAGTTACTAGCCTAGTATCCATCCATGTATACATGCTAAGATAAATGGAAAGGACATTTTGTAAACTCATCAGACCAGAGACCTTATCTTTCCAGAGAAAAACAAAAAAGTAGATGTTCAACATGAGCAAATGCAGTTCTCTCTCAGACACACATGTTAAACCGTCATTTCTGTCTTGTCTCCTCCTCAGGAGATCTAATGGAAGCTCTAGTCCCCCACCCTGAGTTCAAGATGCTAGGTCTGCGGAACATTCCTCAGATGTCCGAAAACTCCCTTGCCTACAGCACCTTTGCGTGGCCCGGGCTTCTGAAGCACCTGAGGCAGATGCTCATTGCGAATGCCAAAATGGAGGAAGGTAAGAACTGCAGGTGAACTGCAGCTGAAGCAGGTTGAACACTGTATACCCAGAGTCGCATATGGGCAGGAGGTGGTCCTTAAGACCAGGTCTTGACTAAAATTCAGTAGGGCTTCCAGGAATTAAATAGAACAGGTTTTTGGGGGGGGGCGATTCTGGCCTAAAATTGCCTTCCCTGCTATAATCTCAGGACTGTGGGACCATATCCCTCCACACAGGGCACACTCCTCATCAGCCCTGCTTTGTGCCGTCTGGCTGGACTCCCAAGTGTTGAGACATTCCTGTTCACTTTTCTGTTTGCAGGGATTGATTGGCAAGTGAGGCCTCCGGTGCCTGGACTCCCTGCATCAGAAAAACAGTCTCTAAACAGGACAGCTCGTTTTAACACCTCCATCGCCAACCTGGTTACCTTGCGAGGAAAAGATGTACAAAGCACGGATCTAGGTGAGAAATAGTTGCAGGATGGCTGCAATAGAAGATTCCTCTTTTAGGCAGTGACACCGGGAGGGAGTTTTACAATAACCACAAAGAATGTCCTATCTCTTACATTTGCCTGAATGCACAGTGTACAGAACATCACTGCTCCTGAGCTTCTTGAATGGGATGGGACAGAAGTGGAATAAGTTAGTGACTGATTTTTTTTAACACCTTGTTGATTATTGTAGGAGGATTCCAAGAGCCTGCCTTGTATACTTCCTGGCTAAACGCTCAAGATGCCTTGACCATCTGGAAGACACCAAGAGCTTTTAATAAATACGAGAAGTCTGCTTCTTTGGTCAGCAACAGCCAGTTTTTGCTGAAGCCTGTGGACAGCGTAGTGGGGAAGGCCTGGAAAATGTTTGCTTCAAAGTAAGTGGGAGAAGACAGGTTGTCATCTCAGACTTTGCCGTGTGCACAGAGCATGGAGTAAGTGGAAGTAAATAAACCAGAGGGAGAGATGGGAAGCAGAAGTACTTCCTCCTTCAGTTCTGTCTGAGAAAGGAACTTATTTTGGTTCCTTCTCTCCCTGAACCGTTTCCATCCCAACTGGCCATTATAAGAACTTGGAAAGTTCTTGTTTTTCTCTTCCCTCTCCTTCTCTTTTTTCCTTTTGTGTTAAGTTTTTTAGATTGTAAGCTTAAAGTAAGTACTTTTTTGTTGATTTGTAATTACTTTTTAAGTGTTCCATGATCTGTTCTGGGTGTACATTTGGCTGAAGAGTTTGGTAAAAATGGTATAGATAATTGAAATCTGTGGAGCAAAGTTAGTCTTGACTAACTGAGCTTCTGCTGCTTTCAATGCAATTTAGTCGCAGCTGATTTTAGCTGGATTGGTGCCTCTCGCTCACCAAAACCTCTTGTTCATTCCACACACAGGGCTTACGTGCACCAGTACACAAAGTTTGGGATTGAAGAGGAAGACTTTATGGACTGTTTCACAACTCTGGAACAAGTCATTGCTAGCTACACCAACCTCTGATTTTCAAATTCATCCTTCGCCAGGAGGGGGCAGATCTAAAATCCTGGCAAGAGGCCTTAAAACTGGAAATCTTGTGAAGAATTGAATGTAGCAGGAGGACTCTTTACATGCCGTCCCAGGCAAGTGCATCCCTCCAGCCATCTTTCAAAGACGGGAGCTTTCCATGCAAACAATGCTTCTGAGAGAGTTCTAGCTTTCAGTGGGGGATGTAGATTGATAACGCACATTCCTTTCATCCCTTTACCAGCATAAAGACTTTGTACAATCTAAATTGCATGTGTTTTGTATATAAAGTAATTTTATTTTCTGATGATGATGTCTGTATGCTGTGTACTCATTCTTTGTACCTCACGTTCTGTAAGTTGCCCTGGCACCTTACAAGAGGCTGTGTCATTTTATCCCTCCAGCAGCCACATGGGGTAGGTTAAGTCGAGAGGTGACGACTGACCTTGCTTTGTGGCTGAAGTTGGAATCTTAACGCTTGTCCCCTGTGCAAGTTTAACACCTCCACTACACCCCCATTAGATCTCAAGATGTGCGAAGGCCAGATTTTGGTTTGTGTGTCTGTTTGTTTAAGTTACTAGTTGTGATAGAGAGACAGGTTGGGGATAAGGAGATCCTGCTGACTTCTGCGGTTAAAAGGACCTCCATACACACTTGTGGATGTTTTCACACATGCACTCTTTAAAGAGTTTGCAACATCTGAACACACAGCACTACAAATGATGTCCACAGTGGTACATTAATTATCTTGTCCTTACCTGATCAGAAGTTGTGTGCAATAACTCCTCTGTACGCAGGAAAGTTTGTAGGCTATGCGTTTAAAAATAAACCACAAGATGGTGCTATTGTTCAGCCCAACAGGCACTGATTGGGTCTACCTGACACCAAGGAATCTCAACATTTCCAACTCATACAGGAAGCAAGCAAGCTGAGGCTGTCCAGGTGACATTGGATTCCCAACTCCCATCTTGGATAACCATTGGCTCTGCTGACTTAGGCTGATGGGACTTGGGAGACCAACATCTGAAGGGTCAGGACTTGCCCACCCCTGAATTACACGGTGCAAGTTAGGGTTGTCATATTTTGAAGAGCAAAAAAAGAGGATACATTTGCTAACTTCTACTTTTAACTATGGATTGCTATGATGACACTCATTTTACATACACATGAAAAAGAGGACGTGTCCTGGAAAAAGAGGACACATGGCAACCCTAGTAGTCTGGGTGGGGAAATTGGTCCTCCAGGTGCTGCCAGGACTACAACTCCCATCAGCCTCTGCAGTGGTCCAGCAATATCTGAAGGGTTGCAGGTTCCTGGCCACTGCAGGAAGTGACATTGATTCCACCCTAATGCTACATTTGGTGCCTGCTAAATATTTGCACAGCAGCGCCTTCTCTACTATGTGGTGCTTCAGGTGTTCTGGGCTGCAACTCCAAATCATCCCTGATCATTGGCCATGCTGACGGAGTGGTAGTTTGCCAACCTGGTGCCTTCCAGTTGTTGCCAAATGCTGATACAGTACATACCCATCAGTATTATTTTGGCACTTTGAAGAGCAATGCCTTGTAAAAGGTCTTTGCCCTGAGGAGTTTAAAATACACATTTCAACCAGGAGGAGGTAAAGGCAGCAGGAGGGTGCAAGAAGAAAAAAGGCTGGCGGAAAAGGGTGTTAATGTGCACAAATGCAGTTGGGTGTTAATGGGGAGTGGTGGGTGGACTGAGGACATAAGGTGAAGGCTTTGGGGAAAATAAGGATTTTGAGGAGGGATTTGAAGGAAGAGAGGTGGGTCTTAGGCCACATTCACACACCATATTTTTAAAGCACTATGATACCACCTTAAACTGCCATGGCTTCCCCCAAAGAATTCTGGGAGCTGCAGTTTGTTAAGGGTGCTGAGAGTCATTAGGAGACCTTTATTCGCCCCTAGAGCTGTTTAAGAATCAGTCCTTCACAGGGAACTCTGAAAATTGTGCATCTTCATTTGAGCTACAACGTTCCAAGTTGAATCATAGCACTTTAAATGTATAGGGGAAGCGGGTGGCGCTGTGGGTTAAACCACAGAGCATAGGACTTGCCGATCAGAAGGTCGGCTGTTCGAATCCCCGCGACGGGGTGAGCTCCTGTTGCTCAGTCCCTGCTCCTGCCAACCTAGCAGTTTGAAAGCACATCAAAGTGCAAGTAGATAAATAGGTACCGCTCCAGCGGGAAGGTAAACGGCGTTTCCATGCGCTCCTCTGGTTCGCCAGAAGCGGCTTAGTCATGCTGGCCACATGACCCGGAAGCTGTATGCCAGCTCCCTCGGCCAATAAAGCGAGATGAGCACCGCAACCCCAGAGTCGGTCACGACTGGACCTAATGGTCAGGGGCCCCTTTACCTTACAGCTAAGGAATGAAGTTTGGTACTTGCTTTAGGAAAATAACTTTGTAGTTCTGTTCTCACCTCCAGTTAATTATCCTTGCGAACAAATCTAAAGATCATTTAGCACTTTAAGGATTTTAAACATTTCTTAAATGGAATCAACCATCTGTATACTTCAATGTGGCTACAGAGCATGGCGGGGGGTGTCCTTTAGCCCTCCAGGTGCTGTTGAACTCTAACTCCCAGCAGCCTCAGCCAACACTGCTAATGCTGAGGGATGGTGAGAGTTGTAGTCTGGAGGGCCACAAGTTCCTCACAACTGCTATTGTTGTGTATACATCAGGAAAGACCAGACCTTTTTTGTTTGTTTAAATAGTGGAAGTCCTCCAGATTTTTTCACACAAAGAAAAGTCCTCTCTTCATTTCAGTAGCCTAAATTAGGTGGGAAAATTAATGTTGTGGCTATTGTTCAACACACATTGAAAGCACATGGCTTCTCCCAAACAACCCTGGGAACTGTAGTTTGGAGTGGAAGCCCTGTAGCGGGGACTACAGTTTCCAGGAGTCTTTGGGGAAGCCCTATGATTTAAACATGCATTGAATGCACTTTAAATGTAGGGTGTAGATCTGCCCTCAAAGCACCCAGAGATGTACTGGTAGACCATCCCAATCTACTTCCAAAGTAAAACACAGGACAGCAACCAAGGGGTAAAAGTGTGTGTGGTTAAGAACCGCTGTTTTGTGTTCTCTTCCGTCTCTTTTCCAAGTAGCCTGGCACTTTGACTGATGAAAGCCGCGCCCTGGGAGCAGCTGTTTACTCTTCTGGGGGAAAGGGTACCTCCGTTCTGCTGAGTCACAGATCCAAATGACGAACTTATTATGCCATTAGGAAAATGACCTGAAGGGTGGGAGGGAGGGAGGGAGGGGAGCTGGATAGGCAGCAGTACCTGAATTTAAAGCAAAAAATATGGGATGGGAAGCAAAAACCTCTTAAGAGATGAATGCAAGATAGTAAGTAACATCTTTGGTGGAACCGTGACACAGAGCCTTTGGGATAGCATAGGGAAGATAGGTGAGCTCCACAGAACCATGCAGTGACCCTTTTACTGAGTCAGACCCTTGGGGCATCTAATTCATTACTATTTACACTGAGATGCAATGTGGCTTTTCAGGGTTTCAAGGCAGGGGACGCTCCCAGCCCTACTTGGTTATACTAGGGATTGAAAATGAGATGTTCTGCACACAAAGCAGTTGGTTGGACTAGATGACTCCTGGGGTCCCTTCCAACTCTAGAATTCTATGATTCTGTATACTGGGAGGGCCAAAGGTTCCCCACACCTGGTCAACAATGGCAGTGGCTCTCCAGGAGATGCACGGGATGGAACTTGGGACCTTCTGCATGCAAAGCAGATGCTCTACTACCGAGCTACATGTAGCTGATCATAGTTATACTGCAGCTCCATAAAGCCACATATTTTTATTTATTTAATGGACTCCTAGCCTACCTTTTGAGGGGGTATACCCCTCCCGATGTCAAATAAATAAAACACGTTGAAATCCAACAATTTAAACTAGCAGTAAAAACAACCAACACTCCGCAGAGTAATGGTTTTTAAACAGCCACAAAAAGCACTAGAAAGCTGACTGAATTCTTAAAAAAAAATATTAAAATATTTATCTTAACTGCAAGGCCATAAAAACCTACCCCAGTTTAACACCCACCTGCCCCACGGCTGTTAAAAAGTGCAGGAAACCTGCATGCCCACCCACATGAAAAATGTAAGCTGGTAGGCCACTCTTCTATCTCAAGCAATATTCCTGTCGTCACTAGAGAGGCCTATAAAAACACCTGCAAGGTCACTGTGAACCATTCCAAATCAGCACCTGTTACTCAAAAGGGGAAAAACAGCCTCGCCTCAGATTAGCACTGACCTGGAGTTTTGTAGCTTTTTTTACTGCTCAGAAATTTGCATAAAAACCGGCCTCTGTTTTCTCTCTGTGAATTATCTCTTCCTTTGACTCATTCCCCACCTAGAGTTTCTCCTGCTCATGGCTGCCTCTCCCCAGTTCTTTCTACATGAGGGGGGCACAGGCCTGGGCTGATGAAGGAAGCTAAAGAAAGAAAAGAGAGAGAGAGAGAAACTGGTTCATATGCAAACAACCAAGGATGCATAAGAAGTGATTGGGCCACCTAGTCCAGCATCCTGTTTCTCACAGTGAGCAACCAGATGCCTCACTGCCTCTTAACCATAGAGGCAGAGCATGACCATCTTGGCTGGTAGGCACTGAGAGCTTATCCTCCACGAATTTGTCCAATCCTTCTGCAGAAGTGACTTTCATTGTTTAACTATGCACGTTTCCTCTCTCTGCTCTCCTCCCAGCAGCTATTCCTCCTCTGGTCACTGCTGTCAATACGCAACCTGTTTGATGGTCTCCAGGCACTGCGGTCAAGGGATTCCTGTAAAAGTCAATGGCACCAGCCTTCGAGTCACATTTGCAAACTTCCTTGTAACATGTCCAAGGCAGTGCATATGTTGCTGAGACAGCACTGCACAGTCCATGCTGGGTATGTGAGTTTGGCAGAGCGCATATTTGTTTGAGACTCTGTCCTGCCATGTGATACCCAAAAACTTCCTGGTGGAGCGCATGTGTTCCCGTATCAGTCGCTACAGCCACAGCAGGCGCTGTAACTCAACTCTCCAATTATTTTCTTCACCTCCAAAGGAACGCTCATCCATTGTCTCCAGAGAAAGACGGATGCCAACAAGCATGAAGACTTTATTTAACTGTCCTAAATCTTCAGCTCCATTGGATTTTCATGAGTGTTATGAGAGACAGTGCTATTTTTCTAGAAAAAGGAAAAATACCTCCCTCTTTCTCTTACAATGGCAATGGTGCCCAGCTGAGAGGTGCCGGAACTGAGCCTTGGAGAGGGAGAGCTTTTCTCT